TCCAGCAGTGCTGTGGGGGGACGGATGGCTGGCTGTGGTAGGCAGTGACATACACACTCACTTTTCAGCCAATGCCTGCAGCCTATAGGCCTCCACCTGACCCTGAAGCATTGATCCGAGGCTTGCTGAACTAGAGGACCGATGGCTGCCGTGGGAGCAGGACTATGGGTGCCCTTCACCCCTCCCGACATCCTTCAGGAAGCAGGCATTGATCAGCGCACTGGGAGCCGGGCTGACTGATTTTCGTTGTGCAAGGCTCCGACATTCCACACCTCTCCTCCAGGTTCCCCTGGAACTGCAGCTGTGAGGAGGACGCACTGCACTGCTGTGGGCAGGAGGGCAGTGTGGGCCAGGCTGAAGGCCCAGCTTCCTGCGGAGTTCCATCTGCATCTCCTGAACATCAAGCAGCCAGGTTCCAGGTTCCAGTTTTCTATCCAGGCTGTGCAAACTTCAGTGATATCACTGGTCCAAGTCCTGATGTTCCTGCCCCACTGCTAGAGCCTGATTCTTGCAAGGGGGGTGAGGAGGGAGCTTTACCCACTCCCATACCTTCCACCAAGGGTTTCCTTTGTATCTGGGCTACCAACCCCAGGGACCAGAAATGGAAAGTGGCCCCCAGACCCAGAAATGAGCATTGCAGTGATTGGTGGAGAGATGGACTTATGGTCAAAGCTAACCAATGAAAATCAGCCCTAAGACTTTGACTGATTCACTAGAAAAGATACTCCTCTCTTTCCCATGGCTGGTAGGAGGGACATACTGGGGACACCTCTGCCCCATATGGATTGAGCCCAGCACCCAAGGGAAGCAGAACCAGGATATTGAGAGAAACAAATTTCAAGACAAGTCTTTTGAGCCCCATAGACTCACCCTGGATTTATGATTGTGAGTCAAACCAATCCCATTTGATTTGTGTTTTTTTTGAGACAGGGTCTCCCTAAATCACTAAATTGCTCAGGTTTGCTATCATTCTGCCTCAGCCTCTCAGAGTGCTGGGATTATAGGTGTATGCCAATACATCAGCCCCTATTTTTAATTTAAGATACTTCTAGCAGCCGTTCAACAGGAGGATTACAAGTTTGAGTCCTTCCTGGACAATTTAGCAAGACTTTGTGTCAAAATAAAAAAATGTTAAAAAGGTCTAGGGTTGTAACTCAATGCAAAAGGCCCTGAATTCAATCTTCAGTGTTAAGAAAAACAAACGAATGATAACAACCACAACAAAATAGAGGAAGGATGGTGAGTCGTGCAATGGGCAAGCCTCTCCCTAAAGAAAGAGCACTGGAGGAGACACCATCCCTGACCAATGGGGTGGCAGCAGGGTCAATCTTCTGGCACACTTGTGTTAAGAGCCAGAGGGCCTGGAAGGAGTAGGCCTAGGGAGCTGGGTATCTGAGAAGTCTGATGGGTTTGCTTCTCTCATGCATTTTGCATTTGGATGAGCTCCTGCTTTGGGTTTGACCTGGAGAGGCCCTGAGGACTGAGACTGCCCCAAGGTCTAAGGTGAGCAGGAGAAATCCTGGCAGCTCTGCAGAGGTGTTCCTGGGGAGCATCAAGTGTAGCTGCCTGCCAGGCAAAGACATCAGGGAGGGACTGTTGATTGATTTAATACCTAAATGTTGATGATTGATTTATGCCAAGTACAGGACATTGTATTTAAGATGCGATTGCCACAAAAGTGGGTAGCTGCTGCATAGAGAATTGGAAGTTTTGAGTCTGCTGCCCATAGGAACAGCAAACCACAGTCTACAGGACAACCTTCCTGTTATATAAGGGGGCCTCCCTGTCCTCAAAGTGAAAGAAGGATTCTGGGTGGATCAAGCCTCCCACCCTGCCCCACACTGGCCTCTCTGGCCTGTGGTTCTGAGGATGCTCAGGCTTGTGGATGGTTCTCAATCATGTGCCCAGCCCAGAGCTTGAAGGAACAGGGCTCCAGTTGAGCCTCAGCCACACTCTTGTCCCAGAGAAGGAAGAGAAATGCAGGTTAGGAGACAGCTGAGTGCAGGGCCATACAAGGGTGCTGGGAATGTCTCTGTGCTATGGGACACCTGGCTTAGGCTGGTCTCTGGCTTTTCCCACGGTCACCAAAGAGTAAGGTGTGTTTTACTCCAGAAACATTATTATTCCCATTTTCCAGGGGAGGAAATGGACCTCAGTAAGGAAGGCACCCAAGGGCCCTCTGCTAGGGAGCTGCAATCTTGGGGTGTGAGTTACACAAGAGTGGTTCACTGGACCACTTCTGAACACTCTCAACAGTGGGGGGAGGCAGGACACCTCTTTCCTCTGGGAGCAGGGAGAGTATGAGCCCCTTGTGTGAGCACAGGGATTCTGGGTAGGTATATAAACTGGTCAGAGGGACTTGCCCATCTGTCTGACCCCCTGGTTCTCAGTCCCTGCATTTGGAGCATGGGTGTGTTCCCACAGGGAAGCGGGCACTCCTGTGCCTGGCAAAGAACCATCTATTGAGGACCCAGGACAGCCTCAAAAGAGACATGACTATGATTATGAATTGAATCCTGGTAGCTGGAGGTGTAGCTCTGTGATAGGGTGAGTAGCTTTTCAAGGTCTCTGAGTTGATCCCCAGCACAACAAAACAAAACAAAACAAAACAAAACAAAACAAAACAAAACAAAACAAAACAAAACATCAGACTCCAGAAGCCTACTGGGAAGGGGGATGTGACGCCTACAGTGGAGGGCCAGGCTTACTTCTTCGCTGAAATGTTTCTGGCTGTGTAATATCATTCTGTGGAGTGGGTCTGATCATAAGGCCCAGGGAGACCTGTTGGACTCATACAAATGGTCCTGGTAGGCAACGGGTGGGTGCTATGTGCATGTGGGTACTCCAGGCTTCCAGATGCACTAGATTGGTGATGACAAACCTTTCAGAGTTTTCAATGATAGCAAACAGCTGGCTGAAGCATGCATGCAGTAGGCTCACCACCACTGCCCTACATTCACCCTCTTCTTCTGAGCCATCAGAATCCTGGATCCAGAGTTCTGTGGTATTGCTGTTAATTCTCTTGTTACCCAGCTGAGGGGATGCCAAAAGACTCCTTTGGGTACCCAGGGTGGGTCTGACTAGGGGCCCAACTCAGGCCTGTTCCTACTGGGGTGCCTGAGAAGTCTCTTAGGATGGAGAAGAGGACTTGAGGGCTGCTTCTTCATTCCTGTTTCTGGCTTCTCTCTTCTGGGCATAGGGGCAGCAGAAGGTAGGAAACTGAGTCATTTCTCATCTTGGTCACCCGGAGGAAAATGAGGAAATTTTTTGTGGAGAGTTTTTGGTTTCCTGAGAGGCTGGTCTCCGAGGAGGAGGGTGGGGGAACCAGGACGTTGTGTGCTCACACAGGTAGGCATGGGGGACTGGGGTGGCTTTCCTTGATGTTTTTTTCTTTTTACTGTAGTTTTAAGCAGCCACCAGGCAGGAAGGCAGAATTCTCATCCTAGGGACACACCTGGTTCTGACTTGAAGCTCTGTGACTAGGCAAGTGACTACCATTCTCTGTGCCTTGTTTATTTGTAGAATGGGGCAATGGGGCATTCATTCCAGAGGGTCATAGTGACAGCCAGTTGATTGAGCCAGGTCCTTAGCACACAGCTTAGCATGTGAAGTAGGAATCCACACTCTTTGACCGCAGGGAAACTGAGGCATTGGGTGGTGACTTGTCTCCACAGTTGCTCAGGAGAGGAGATGGGATTTTCAAACTCAGTATGGGTGCACGTGCACACACACACACACACACACACACACACACACACACACACATGTGCGCCTTAATGGCACTTCTCTTCTCCCCATCTTGTGCTCTGGCTTCTCCCATCTCCTGCTTTCTCCCCAGCTGAGGTGGTGGAGTGTCCTGGGTGACCCTGGAGCCTGGGGCAACAGCCTGGGGCCTGGAACCCAGGCTGGCAGAGCCTGCAGAGGGCTCTGTGCTAAGCTGCCAGTGATCTGGGCGGTGGCCAGAGCTGTCCTCCTTGGTTAGAATCCTGCAGCCAGTCTCCCTGCTGTGCAGACACATAATTATATTTCACATTAAAGGGGAAGCAGAGGCCAAGAGGGCCAGGGAGCCCTTTAAGGCTCGTGCTCTGGGCATGAACCTGCCTCATCAGTCCAGTCCTGTGGTCCTAGGGCTGAACTGGGGTTCAGGTCAGTGATAAAATGGGGTTTCCCTGGGCCAGGGCTGGGCTGCGTTCATCTGTCTGCCAGGATGAAAGGCCTGAGCCCTGTGGGAAGCAGAGAATGTGAGGCTCAGACAATACACCTCAGGAGCCTGGAAGAGCAGGGCACTTGGGGACAGGCTGGGGAGAGAGCCTGAGCCTTAGTCAGGGTTGGGCAAAAGCAGGGGGTCACATGGGGCTCAAGTTAGCAGAGAGGGGATGAGAGAGGAGCAGGGGAGAAAGCAGGAGATGGGAGAAGCCAGAGCACAAGATGGGGAGAAGAGAAGTGCCATTAAGGCCCGCATGTGTGTGTGTGTGTGTGTGTGTGTGTGTGTGCACGTGCACCCATGCGAGTGTGTGTGTGTGCTTACTGTGCATGAGGAAATTATTCTGAGGGAATGCACAAGCTCAGATATGTGCATCTATGCACAAGTACAGATACCACTGTGCATGTGCACGTGTGAGCCTGTGCACCTGCAGCCACCCTGCATATTACAGCATGTATTAGGCACGTGTGGATGAGATGCTGAGACTGTGTAGCCAACTATGTGCATGCATGTCCAAGATTTCCTTGCCTGTGTGTATGCTTGCCATGCACCTGTGAGCGCGCGTGTCTCTGGGAGGATGTGCTTGTGCGTGAGTGTGTGTGTGTGTATGTGTGTATGTATGTGCACGCCCCAGTGCGCAAGTGGTTGGCAGTGTGTGTGCGTGTGGGAGGGGGGTGGCTTGGGGCTAGAAGGGGGCGCCGGGCCAGGTCAGGGCCGCGGTGGGCGGGGGCAGTGGCGGCGCGGGGCGGGCATGCTCTCGGCGGAGAGTTAGAGGAGTTGCGGAGCTGGCCAACGGTGGCAGCGGGGCGCGGAGCTGGGTGCGCGCCGAGCTTCTGCCTTCCGCCGCCTCCTCGCCCTCCATTCCTCGCTCTCTGTTTTCCCCCGGCCACACCGCCGCCGCACCGCCTCCCTGGGAACCGTAGCCGGGGGAAGGGGTCTGGCGCGGCGGAAACCCGCTGGGAGGTGCCCGGGACCCAGGCGTGGGGGAGCGCTCCCGGCCCTGGCCGGGATCAGATAACAGCCGGCGGGGGAGGGGTTGGGCCGGCTGTGCTCACAGCGGGACTAAGGGACCCGCGCCAGCCGCACAGCCAGAGCGAGCGCCCCGCGGCCGGGGGCGCCGTCCAGGCGCGCCCCCGACCCGTGGCTGGACCGGGGCGATCCGCGCCTGGGCCGACGCGTCCCCGGGCATGGAGCGCCCCCGGGGGCTGTCCTGAGGCGGCGGCGGCGGCGGCTGCGATGCAGTCAGTGCAGCGGCTGCCGGGGCCAGAATCCGCCGCCCGGAGCTCGGAGGACGCGGAGCGCGCCGCGCCCCTGCCAGCTACCAAGGTAAGAGCGCAGCTGCCGGCGCACGAACCCCGCGGGCCGGGCCCCAGCTACCCTCAGGCAGTCTCTCCGGCCCTCAGTGAGCAAGAGGTGGTGCAGCAACAGGGAAGGGAAGGTGGGGCCGGAGGGCTTTTTCTTGCTCGCGTATTTCCCCCTTGGTGAACCATCCGAGGAAATGCTGACTGCGAGCTTTTCTTCCGCTGCCATGTCTCCGGCTACTGCCACCAGGGAACTTTGCTCCAGGCTAGCCTTTGTCGGGGGGTGCTTTGGGAAACTTTGAGAAGCCCTAGGTCCCCCTCTGCTCGGTTTGCATGAGGGGCCTCGGGAGGGAGCCGGCGAGAGCCACTTTGCGCACGGCATGGGTCCGAGGTGTGACCTTCTCCGAGACCCCTCCATCAAGCTGCGGGTACTAAGGGACGTTTAGGCTTTAAGAGAGGCCCCGAAGAAGACCCTGGTCCGAGAGCTGCGGGTCTTTGGGGTTGTTTCTCTTTTCCATCTCCTGTTTTCTGGTGGAGTAAAAATATTCTGGAAATGGTTCTCGGTCAGCGATTCAGCCGACAAGTCCAGCGGCTTCTTTTTGCTTTTTAAAAGTGGCCTTGGAAGCCCGCAGGGGCTCAGGGCTGGTGGGCCCTCAAGTACTCACAAGTCTGCTTTGAGTGTCCTGCAGGAGGTGTGTGTGGGGGAAGAGCTGGAAGGCGATCAGGGCTCTTGGAAGTGGTGGCTGGGGTGGGGAACTCCTGGGGTGGGGTGGGGTGGGGGTTGCTCCAGATGGGAGTGGAGGCCCATGCCTGTCTGTCTTGTTCACATGTCATGTGCATGTCTTAAAAGCAATGTTTGGAATGAGAGTCATCTGATAGCGTTGTTTGGCGGTGGTCTCTAGTTCTGGGAGGTCCTGCCCCCCTACAGTCTGGATGCGCAGGGAGCAGGGCCCCCAATTCTCAGGGGGCGTACCCATCCTGTAGTTTTGCTATGCCTGTGGCCATTTCTAGTTTCTTCTTCATTCCCCGGCGTGCCTAGGCCTGAGCCCTGCATCAAAGCTCTGGGGACCTCCTGCCCCCTGAGTCTGCCTCCCAGAACCTGGTTCCCAGACTCTGTCTCCTGGGAGCGCTGAGGCGCCCACACGCCGCTGAAATCGGCAGCCGCCTCCTTGAAGGTGCCAACCCAGAAGGCGTTAGCCTCCGGCCTACCCTTCACCCCCTCCTTGAGATGCCAGTGGAGGCTAGCCCTTGGCTGCTGTCCTCCCTGGACTGGACCCCAGCCTCACCTGCGCTAAGCTGAGACCAAAGCCCCTCCTCTCAAAGCTCCACCCTGGACTGCCGCCATGTGGCAGGAGAGGACTGGGGAGGAGAGGTATAGCACAGCCCCAGAGGCTCTGAGTCTTTCTGAGGAGCTTTCCCTCCTGTGTTCTAAAAAGAGCCCCTCTCACTTCACTGTCTCCCAGGGGTGGCCAAAGAGACTTCCAGCAAGTCTGTCCCTCGGTTTTCTGGTGGCCCCTCCAACCATCTTTGGGATCCAAGGTTGGCTGCTCCAGGAGGGGCCCTTAGGAGGGCAGTGTCAGGTGGCATCAAGTCTGACATAGGGCAGGTCTGAAAGGGGAAGCCCCTGAGCACCCTTGGGACAGAGGGAGGCCAGTGTGCTGCATAGCAGGGCCAGACCCTCTTCTCCCCTGGAGCACTGCTGGAACACATACAGTAGGCACTCTGTAAACCCAGGGTTACTGTATCCTTTTCTGTAGGTCTGCAGCAAAGGGAACAAGGAACACTGGGTGGATTGAAATAATAATGACAACAGCAGTAATAGTAGTAACAGTACCAGTAACGGTACTGCCCTGTGTTTGTGCAGTGTAGAAACTGGGACCAGTGGGCCAGTACTGGGGTCAGTGCAGACAGTGGGCAGTTTCCTCTGGCCTAGCCATTCCTTCAGAGTCTTGGTTCGTGTTGCCAACACCAAGGTGGCACTGGAGGGCTTGGCACACAGCTGGGGTGGAAGTGACTATGTTGTCACTCCCAGAAACCTCTATGGTTCTCACCTACCCCCAGTCCTCACTCCCTGATTCTGTGCAGTAGTCACCCTCAACCCCTGCTCCTAGCCTAGCTGTGGCTTGGGCTGTCCCTTTGACAGGTGCAGTCAGTGCTGTGGCTGGGCCTTAGCCAGGGCTTTAATGTGACGGACACATGGACACACCTGCCCCGCCCCTGAGGCCTGCCATTGGAACTCTGCCATAGGCTGGCATCAAGGAAAGGCCAGGAAGGGCAGCTGATGGGTAGCAGGAGGGGTGAAGGCTGGGCCAGCCACGCGGAAGGAGTGGTGGGTGTGGGCTTAGCACCATGAAGGAGGCTGCTTGGGAAAGGGCTGTGCTTTGGGGAGCTGGCAGCAGCAGGGAAAGGCTGCAGATGAAAGTGAGCTGCCCAAAACTGGGCCACAGGCAGGGTGCCTGAGGCTTCACAGGAGTTGTGGGTGTGGGGCAGGGTGCTCAGCAGGGGCAGGTGGGTTTTCCAGAGGAGCTGGGTCTAGGGCAGGACCAGAGCCCTGGCTGGGCACTGGCCGAGGGCCCAGTGCTCTGCCAGCTTATTTAATTTCCTAATGGCCTGCCAGAGCGGAGGGCGGCATTAGCTCCATCATACAGACAGGGACTGGAGGTGGGGCAGGCTCTGGAGGGGCCACAGCCTGAGTACTTCCAACTCAGAACCTTGGAGCTTTCCTTGGGACAGATCACACCTTCGCTTGGACCACAGACACTCTGACCTAGGTATATGTGTGCCAGGTTGCTTGGACTCCCTGTGTCTCCCTGCATTCTAGCTCCCAGGGAGCTGCATCCTTAGGACCTAGTGAAGACCTGGCATGCAGTAGGTGCTCAGTAGATGCTCCATGAGGGTGCTAGCTGTGATGGGTGTGGGTGCTGAGGATGGAGACCCTGGCAGTCCACTTTGAAGTGTCCTGCTTACAGAAGTGCTGAATGAATGGCCTTTGAATCAATGGATGTCACTGTGTGGGAGGAGGCCTGAGGGCAGACAAGCAGTGCCAGGGAGGTGGTGGTGCCAGCAGGACAGTCACTGCTAGCCTCGGTTTCTTGTCTGTGAAGTGGGACTGAAACCCCAGGATGGGGGAAATGGATATGTCAACCTTGTGATGTGTTTCCGGGGGCATGCAAAAGGGGTCTTCAGGTATGCGAAGGGGGCCCTGGAAAGGAGGCATATGAATAGTCCTGGTGTCAGTGCCTTGGGAAGTCTGTCACTCCAGCCTGGCCTTCCCTTGGTCATGGGGGAAAACAGGCCTGGAGACGGGAAGCAATTGGCTGTAGCAGACGTAGTCTCAATTGTGGCCTGTGTCGCAGTGTGTCCTCCCTCTCTACCCCCTGCTCCCTCTGCCATCTTCTCTGATGCCACCAGCTCAGGCTGTCCTCCTTGGCTGCTGAGTGGCAGCTGCAGAGGCAGTGTGAGGCTGTAGGGATGCTAGGGACCCCAGCCCAGCCCCTCATGAGCCTGCAGTCCTGCAGTGCCGCCAGCCATGCTGGGAGTCTTTTCTGTCCCAGCTGGGCATTAGTGCTGCTCTTAATCAGTGAGCGCAGCTTCCCGGAACCTGTCTGGGACCCCCTAGCCTTTCCTTCAGACCTTTGGCAGCTGAAGTCTCCCCTCTACCTCTCACCTGTAGCCCGAGCCTCTTCGAAGGACAGGCTTGGAGAGAAGCCAAGGAACCAACAGGAAAGCTTTGGGAGCAACAGGCTTCCCTCAGGGCACTGTTGCTTGAGTCCCTACTGTGTGTCCCACCTGCTGTGTGAGGGCCCTCCTCCAGCTTCAGGCTGGCCTCCCTCCCATCTCACACTGTCCTCTCTGGCCCCTCACCTGCCCTCCTTGTTTATGTCTCCTTAGACCAGGCCTGCTTCTGCCTCAGGACCTTGGCATGTACTACTACTCTTGCTCAGGCTGCTCTTTCCAGGATCCCTACACAGCCTCTCCCTCACCACTGTCAGATCTTGCCTAGAAGCCACCTCCTTGCGGAGGTCTTTTTGACTCCTGCAAAACACTCTATCCACTCTTGCAGGACGTTCAACATCTCCTGCTTGAGTTTTCCGTAAACTTGTGTCTCTACCAAAGAGTGTGCTGTTTGTTTATTGTCTCTTTGCCCTTGAAATATAAGTTCCTTTGTATTTGCAGAATTTTGGTCCTGTCCCCCCACAGCTGTATCCTCTGGGCCTACAGCACTAGGCAGTGTATAGTTGGGGCATGGATGGATTGCTTTGGCTGTGCGTGGTGCCTGCTCAGAGCATGTGAACAGCAGCAGTCATAGCCATGGACATTTCTAGCCATTCTGAAGATGGGAATACTGAGCTTCAGAAGGCTGATGTCATTGTTCCAGAATTGTGGAGCTTGTTGGCGGCGGAGCTGGGATTCAGATGTTTCTGCTGAGCCTTTGGCCAGCCATCTGTCTGGCTGAGGGGAAAGGAGTTGGAATTTATGTCAGGTCTCTCTGCTGTATTGAGCTCTTTATGTAGCCCTCACCTGCTGCAAGCTCTGAGCCTAGTAGTGTCCCAGCTCTGGGGGTCTCTACTCCAACCTCCAACTGCAAGTGCTGAAAGCTGGTTCCTTGTAGAGCTGAGCAAATGGAGACCCAGGGAGTTGAGCTCCACTGACTCCTTTAAATTGAAGACTCTCATCACCTTTCTTCCTTTGATGGAAGCTTATAGGGCAGTGGCCTTTGGAGGTGGTGTGGTGGGGGATTCTTTAGTTTTTGCTCAGGTAAGCATTTTCAGACTCCTCTGGCTGCTTGTGTTTTATGTCAGTGTTATTCCCCTTTCCCTTTCTAATCTCCTGGCACACCCAAGTTATATTTAACTTTAAAAATTTTGTTATGATCACTTTTAGCAGTTCCCTAGTTGTCAAGAGAGCCGGTGCTTTCTGGTTAGCCTGCTTTGGTCCGCGCCTGAGCAGACAGGGTTGGGGCTGGGCCTCTCAGTTTGGCTATCCACGTGGGCAGGCATAGGGCCTTCACTTCTGAGGTCACCAGAGGCAGAAGAGGAACCAGGTACCAGGAGACCCGGAGCCCTTTGTAGTTGCTCTGTTCCCAAAAGGAGGGGTACATTGGGGTGTGAGTAGACACTGTGACACACTGTGGGAGTGGGGACCCTGACAGGAGGGCAGGGCAAAGCCCTGCCCCCAGGTCCGGCAGCTCATTAGAAGCACGGTGTGGGGAGCAGCACAGGGAGGCAGGGCAGCTCTGTGCTCTGAAACCTACTTGCAGCTGTCTGGAGACTTGAGGGGGCAGGAGGAGGGAGCACAAGGAGACAGAGCTGTTGGGCTGTGTATGATGGAGGCTGAGAGGACAGGGTGAGGGCGGTCAAGGAGGAGCCATGGGGCTTGGTGAGGTGAGCCCTCACCCCTGCCCACCTCCCCCTTTCTCCAGCTGCAGCCTGAGCCCCTCAAGTGCTGGCTCCAGCCCTGCAATTCTCCGGCACTTAAAGCAAAAATAAATCACTGCCAGCAGCTGGTGTTCTGGGTGGCAGCAGCCGCGCCATCCCCCGGTCCGACCCTCTGCCTTGGGGCTTCTGGTACCAGGCCAAAGCCAGACACTGAGGTTGATGGGGTTGGGTGGGTGGTGGAGGGCATGGGAGCTTGGCATGGTCCAGCAAGTGGTGGGGACTGAGTGGGTCACATGGAGGGCAGAGGCCAGTGGGGACCTGGGACTACGACAGTGTGAGGCTCAAGCCAGGTGGGGCGCTCAGGACTGGGACTTCTAAGCTAGATGTGGGAGCACAAACCTGTAATCCCACAGGAAGCTAAGGCAAGAGGATCACAAGTTTCAGAACACCTTTAGGTACTTAGTGAAACCCTGTATCAGGTTAAAAAAAAAAAAAAAAAAAAAAAAAGCAGATCTTCCTAGAGGTCCAGGCCTTAGCCTTGTGGAAACAGATCTGGGCAGGGCTGGTGCAAACTCAGAGGGACAAACACACCTGCACCTCTCTTATATACCTCCTTCAGTTCCAGCCCTGGCTTCTCTGTTCTCTCAGGCCTCTCCTTTCCCTTCTTAGGGAATCCTAGAGGTCTTGACTTGTTGAGTGTTGGTGACACAGGCCTGAGGCTGTCTAATTTAACATCACTCGTGCTTTCAGCAAATAGCTGACAAGCATGTCCATGTGCTCCACCTGAGCCAGGAGGCTGGGGACACAGCAGTGCACAAAGCTTTACCTCATGGGGTTGACACCTCAGTGGGTGGGAGAGGAAAGACAAGTACACAGACGCAGGGGGAACCATAGCCCCGGTCCCATTCCTTGTTAATTCCAAGTTGTTTGCCTACTCCTGGTGGAATATTAAACAGTTCTAAGGACAAATTTTAATTCTTAATACTTTACTCATGATAAAGAATTAAATAATTGGAAGTACATCCTTCATTCTCAGCTTGTTGTCCTTCCACCCAAAAGGTTTTATGTTTTTGAGGTGGCTGTTGGAGAATCCTTAGATATTCGGAGCTAACATTAATACGTGAAGGTAGCTGTTCTAGCTTGCGGACATCCATAGCTTCCTTCCTTCTTTCCTCCCTCCCTGCCATCTTTCCTCCTGTGGGACCACTCTGTGCATGCCATGGTTTCCCCTGCACCAGGAGCCTGGCCATGAGGCGTCTAAGTGCCTGCAGGACTCAGGACTCTCGTCCCGTCTCCTTTGGACATAGATTGAGGGCTGTGTCACCAAGTCTCGGGATCATAAAATCGTAGTTGTGGAGGCTTTGAATGTGCAGAACCACTGATGTTCACACGTCATGGGTTCTTTGTAAAGTCTCAGCCGCTTTGAGACAGAGAACCTGGAACTGCAGAATTGGAGCATTTCAGCACCAGGAGAGCTGCTGTGTCCTTGCTGGTCCTTCCTTCTTGGGATTTCTCTGGTAGTTTAGATGATCCAGAGTCCTGGCTCCATCCCAACTTCTGGTTCAGAGGCTCTGGGGTAAACCTGGCAGTCTTTGGGTTTTAATCTCTACTAATAGCCCAGCCCTTTTAGCAAGGAGGCTGTCCTGCTGCAGCCCCAACTCCAGGACAGGTCCCATCTCCTTGAGGCAAGTCTGGCTCCCACTCAGGGCAGAGCAGGTCTTGCTTGGGCGTGGAAAGGGAGGTGCCCAGCAGTTCTCTGGACAGGTCCTTGAGTTGAGTCTCTAATGCCCATTCTGTTGGCCTTCCTGAGACAGGCTCACTGGCTCCTTTGCCGTCCTTAGCTAAGGGCAGGCCCCCACCAGGGAGGATCAGACTTGTTCTTTTGCAAGTTCTGCATCCCAGTGGCCACTGCCTGCGTGATCACTCTTTCATTCCTGTAATGGGGCTTGAGAATTATCAGGCCCCTCCTTAGATGATAGGATGTGATACCCTGATTCTGGCAGAGTGATAATGACCTCAGTGTCCTCCTCTAAGTCTCAGTTTCCCCGTTTATGAAGTGAGCATTAGATCCACTCCCATGTCTGGGCATCCATTCTCTCCTGCCCTCTGTACTTTGGTTCTACAGTCAGGGTAGGGCAGGGCAGGGCAGGGCAGGGCAGGGCAGGGCAGGGCAGAGCAGGGCAGCACAGGGCAGGGTAGCACAGGGCAGGGCAGAGCAGGGCAGGGCAGAGCAGCGCAGCTTCCTCTCCTCCTGTTCTCCTTCTGCTATGCGGCCGGAGGCTCAGCCTTGCCATTGTCTCTGCCTGCTGGGCCTCAAGCTGTCAGCAGCACCTGCCTTGTCAGAGCAGCCAGGTCCTTCCTAGCGCACTGAGAGACTTAGGGCCACCAGAATGAGTGCTCCCAGGGTGGCCCTGGCACATCCAGGGGGCTACTTGATGGAGGACACCCAATTCCCCTCTTCCTTTCTTTCCTTAGGTGTGAGAGTATGAACAGGCCTGGTTCTGGCCAGCCCAGTTCAACTGCTCAGGGGTCCTGGCCCTGACCCATAGCAGATGCCCTAGCCCTATAGTACCAGGGCTTCGTGACCAGGTTCTGGGTCTGTCTTGACCCAGCTGCTGTGTCTGAGGACACCCAGGATCAAACACAGGTATACATAGAGGAGATTCTGTGGACAGGGGAGGGATGGGGAGAAGGAGCTCTGGGAGATGTGGCTTGAGCCTCTGCCCCAGTGTGCTGGCCTATGAAATGGGAACATTGGCAGAAATGAACTGAATGAATCCATATACCATGGCCCACGGGGCTATCACAAGACTAGCCCTTGGGGATGTAAGACAGAACAGCTGAGCATCCATTGTCTAAAATATGGGAGCAGACATGTTTCAGATTTCAGAATTTAGGGCTGATCAAGAAGTTCAGCAGATTAAAGCACCTGCAAGCAGGTACGGGTCAATACCCAGGTCTGCTGTGCTGGCCCCACCCCTGGGGCACGCTGAGATGGCAGTTAAGACTGGGTCTGGCAGCGCATACCTATATTCTCAGCTCTTGGGAGGCTGTAAACAGGCAGATCACTGTGAGTCCAATCTAGTAGTGAGACCCTGAACACTGTAGACCCTTCGCTAAAATACCAAAAAAAAAAAAAAAAAAAAAAA